TCTTACTGATATTTTTTTTGTTGCGAATTTTGATGAAGGTGCATGCTTTAATCTCATTGTTCCGCCCAATCACTGCATCTGTGCCTACTCCTGCTGCCCCTCTCCCAGATGTGGCTAGATCAGGCTTATTTCGATCTCCTATTACAGAAGAAGAATTTCATCCAACAGCAAAAATGTGTCTTCAAGAGGGCTCCTATTTACCTGGCATGCAATGTACTCATGAATTACCAATTCATATGCAATCCAAGCAGGTAGTCAGATATCCACTTTACGATAAATGTGAGGTTGAAACACACGTGGCACGTGCACAGCCTCCTACAGAACCTCGACATGTTGTTCAGCATGCTTCTCTTCCTCATCATGCCGATTCCTATTATTTAGCTGCAGAACATGAGCCATACTTGCCTGAACAACCTTTCCTGTCTTATCAGGATGCATATAGAAGGTGCATTCTTTTGTTGCATTTCTGTCCAATTACTACTTTCAGCTGTGATTTTGTGGTATTTTGTACATTTGGTGGTCTCTATTCTGTATCTTCTATTCTATTATGCAAAGGGGATTCCTTTGTGTCCGCCTTTATTTTTTTCTTTTCCAAAATATTCCTCTATAAATCATACCTCATTCTCCTATTTAAATTACTCCACTGGCTAAACCACCTACAGTTACAGTTACATTATGTCCACATCATGTTTTTACATATTTATATTTTTCATTAATCAGAGTTAATCCTCGCACATGTGAAGCATGTATAAATAATATTGTCATACATTTTCACAGGTTTAGGGTCGCACTTGAGGACGAGATGGTTCCCAGGGATCAAGTTGTTACGTATAGAAGTGAGTGTGACAGGTCACAGTTGCCGCAGGGAAGGGAGCGAGATGTTTTTGCCCATTCCGATTATGCTGCTGAATTGTATAGTCGAGAGTTGCCCACTGCTGCAGCCTCACGTGTTATGTTGCAATCACATTCTTTAGCACCATCTTATGAACGGCCATCAACTTACCAACCGTATTATCAAGTGACAGCCCATCAGGATCAGAGCTATCAGAGCTGGGTGTATGCTGATCCTCTTCAAAGACCATTGCATGGTAGCTCTAACTCAGTTGAGGCAAATGTGCCAGTCTCTTCATGCTTTTCTTTCACCGGAGCTGCCCGTTACCACTGAACGAGACTTGGATGTGCAGATTTATCTCAAGTCACACTGGTATGGTTTGTGTTGCTTTATTGTCAAATGCCGATTAGAACTCATGATACAATGATCATACGTTGTGTTTAGTTTCCTGCCAGAGAACAGTTTATTCTTTTTCTTTTTATTTTTCCTAAAAGTTTTGTATAGAAGGGGAGCTACTGGTGCCCTGCTGTCATTGTGTACAAAGCATCGGTCCTTTTAAGACATCCTGAGGCATAATGTATAGCGCGGAGCAACCAAATAAATTAGATGAGCGTACAACAATCTGAAACGCTTTTAGTTTTTCCAAAAGCACTCTTAAACCGACCCTAAAACTTAGTTCAGACTCATTCGAACATGTTGTCCCATTTGAACTGATTGAGCCAATGAATGTCTCACTGTAAATTTGGAAGTTACTACTAGTCTATTCAAGATCAATAATCAATATGCCGTGCCAATTTGTCAGCCATGTAAATTTGGCCCACAAAATCTTCTTACTGTTTGCCTCTTGTGTCATTAATGATCCATCCAAACCCTCATTGCCTCCTTTGCTAGTTGGGCTAGGCTGGTCCCTTCCCTGCCCTGCCCTGCTCTAAATAGTAGCCTAGCCCGTGGACTGTGACATTAATATAGGATTTGCAGTCACCCGTGAGTCACGAGAAGAGACTTTCATGAAACGGGAATAACATTATTTTGATATTTCCAGTCAATAACGCTATAACATGTATAATAACATTTTCATATGACATAGCATTATTATTTGGAGATAGCAAAACAGTGCTATTCTCGTTGCAACTTTGATTTTCTCATGAGTGACCGACCTAGTTCAACTGGCTTACCAAACTTTCTTGCTCTCTATTTCCTTATTTTTTTTTGGGTTGTCGCCTAAGTTTGGTGCCTTTTTAATCGGGCCCTCATCTTATATTCCATGTGTAATGAAAGCATAATGTTGTGTTCTTTTCTCATTTGGTAGAGATTTGAATATAATAACCTTCACGGGTTGGCCCAGTGGTAAGGGCGTTTCCCAGGCCCTATGTAAACGGGAGATCCTGGGTTCGATTCCTGCCGTTGGTGAATCAAGCGATGAGGGCCAGGGACGGGGTGAAATTCCCTATAGCCTCTCCGGGTCCCGGAAGGGGTGGATGGCCGTGGCTTGCCACCAGTTGTCCCCCTTTTAAAAAAAAAAAAAAAAAAAAGAGATTTGAATATAATTGATCCCACTTTCTCCTTTGGGTAAGCGTAAGTCTCTCTCTGTCTCATTTTATATTTTGAGTTTGGTACTTTAGCCTAGTAAGTCAGCGACAACTCCCAACGTGAGGCCGGTTTCAAGGTCAGACGTTTACCAGCACTCTCATTAATTATACATATTGGTATTGTTAAATTTTTGGACCTAAATTCAACTCAACTTGTTTGACTACATTAATCTTATTTAAATATTAATATTTATCGTTGCAAGGGCTCATGTTTCCTTCAAGTCTTTCCGTCCTTTGATGATATGGCAGAGGCACACATCGTTTTGTGTACATATGCGCCTGCTGCAATCTCCATCTAGAATAGTCTTTCATGGATCAAAACTTTATAAGAAGAAGGGCGATGGATTATGGAGTGTGACCAAGCAAAGCATTGCGCAAATAGAATAATGAGTAATCTTTGACCGTTAATGCATGTAGAACCCACCATATTTCATAAATAGTCAAAAATCATCTGGACGAGAATGAATTTAACAAAGTCATAAAATAAGTAAGGGATGATAGCAACTTACAATGATGACATAGACAGACCTCAAAGTCTACTAGACGACGCTGGCATGCTCATGCCTTTATTTTGTTTTAGGGTATAAACTTTAATCTTTTGCAAGTTATTTGGGGGTACTTGTTTGGACTTTGGAAGGAGAATATGTGTTAGGGAGAAAGAAAGAAAGAAACTATAGCATGTGCAAGCGTGATGAGGTGACAAGGAGAGGATCAAACAAACAGACATATAAAAATTATAAAATTTAATAAATAAATAATAAAGTGAACATATGCATAATGCATGCATGTCTCTGGACATGGTTACTAGCTCAGCTTAAACTACTCTCTCTCTCTCTCTCTCTCTCTCTCTCTCTCTCTCTCTCTCTCATTGTGTCTCTCATATTTATGGGAAAGATTGGTTGAGGATCTTAGCCTCAGCTGGAACATGATTATGATGTGGACGGTTGAATAATTGAATTTACTGGCATGCATGTACATGAAATTTCAGCGTCACAAAACTCACAAAATGCCATATATATATCTTCAAAATTTTCAAGATAAAGCTGCAAAGTTTGAAAGAGATAATTACATGTGGAACGACTGTCCGTATTTGCACCTACATGTGCATGTATAATCTTTTCCATCTGAACTTCAAAAACAAAACAAAAAGGAAAAAAGAAAAATTCAAATCAATATGATGAACATGTGGGCATTCTTTGTTTGCATCTCTGCACCTTCCTATCTAAATAATTTCCAATTTATTATAAATAATATAAAATCAATCAATTTGTTATTAATTTTATTTATAATATATATAATCCCTTTCAACCGAAGAATTTCTCAAATAGTATTATTTGAGAGATGAGACGTTCATCCGTTCGATATGCTTATATATATATTCATCAACTTGTTCTTTGATGGAGTCAAAACATTCACTTGAAAGCCTCCCTCATGAAGTTCAAGTTCTTGAATCTTGACCTACACAAAAATCCAAACCAAATCCCACAGTGCTTCGACGGTGAAGAACGGCTATATATTTATGAATTATTAAAGAGATATACATATGTGTCATACCTGAACAGAAGGGTCCAACTTGTATATAATTAACAAGTAGACAGTGCCCATGTGAGCATAAATGTATAGGGAGATCCTACATCCCTTCTTACATATATTCAACGAAGCGAAGCAGACGTGAAAGACTAAACCACACACACACACACATATATATATATATATATATATCGTTGGGATTAAGTTGAAAAATCTTTGAATGGATCTGAAATATCAAAACCAATATTTAGATTTTATTACTGATATATAACTAGCTTCCCATTTGTAGAAAGGGGCAATTACCGAGCGAGGATCGAGAGAGTGACACATGAAAAAAGAAAATAAAAAAAGTTGAGAAATGGGAGTCGTAGGATCTACTCCATCTCCTCATCTTTATGTTTGATCTCCTAATCACTTGTGTTTGATTTCTGAGATCTTTATGCTGAAAAAGGGAGTTCGATCGACTTTGCTTTGAGAGGGTATCGTATCCTTCTAGTTGAAAACTTATTGAAAAGACTTGATTATGTTCAATCTTGTCTGTCTTGCAATGAAGAATTGTATTTGTACATCTTATACTGAACTAGGCATTACAAGAGTTAAATGGAAGAAAGCAAAAACAAGGTAGAAGCCTTATTTACTTTAATTTTATCGAAAAATAAGCAAATTAAATGCTCGTTTTGAAATGATTTTATTTCATTTTATATTTCTTAAATTAAAGAGAAAAACTAAATTGTGAGAGAAGGAGAAGATGAGAGAAAATTTGAATAAATTTTAAAAATCTTTTACTTTATTCATTTTCTCTTTTAAATATTTTTATTATTATTATTTCATCTATTTACTGCTCTTCATTAAATACATACAAGCATATAGTGGAAACGTTATCATACGGGCCCAACAAACAATTTAAATGTTATCAAACAGACTTAGTTAAATACTGTCAGAAAGAAGTGGTAGAATCGAAATTACACATATAAAAGGAAGCGTCAAAACACCTTTTTCTTTGTTTCTTTGGATTTAATATTATATTTTTACTTTCATCTCTTACATATCTTTTTTGTTGGATTTCATTTTCATCTCATGTTACCAACACATAAGACGATAAACTCGAAAACCTGACCAATAAAAGCCCTTCTCTCTAACCCTATTTTCCTTTCTGGCTAGTGCATCTCCTCATTATCACAACACCAACACTTCATACTCTCTCTGATCTGATCTCTCTATATCTTGATGTCCTAATCTCTAAGACAAAAGGAAACAAATTTATCGAAGCCAGGCACTGCTAGCCAAGAGACACACACCAAAATTAAAGGTGGATCGAAGGCATGGAAAGCGCCCACTTCCTTCAGAAGCATCGGAGGAGAAAGAGAGGGATCCTCAGCAGCACCATGACTTCACTCCTAATTATGAATCAAACTGGACAGAAGCTGATATGTCTGCCATGGTTTCTGCTCTTACTCAAGTTATTGGAACCACCGAAGATCATCACCAAGGAACTGTGGTGCAATCAAACCCTTCATCCATCTCTCACTCTATAGTAAAAGAAGAACCGGACCGCCCTGAGCCGGTTCAAGAACAAGGTACGATTTTTTTTTTTTCTTTCTATAAATTTTTTTCTCCTTTTTTTTTTTTTGTGGGTTTGGTTATTTTGGTTTATGATATTGACATATGCCTTCACAATATAGTTGTGATTTTGATCCATCTTTTGTTTGTTTTGCATTGTCAAAAGTTGTAATGGTCTAAATATGTGTCCATCTGAAATTCCTTTTTGGGCAAGATAATCAAACTTAAGAAGCTATAGCTATGGCTAAGATTGCTCTCTCTTCCTAATATATATATATATATATATATATATATATGTGTGTGTGTGTGTGTAACTTGCACAGATGAAGTTTGACCAAAGACTTTTAGGAAACCTACATCATAGACAAGTTCAAAATTATTATTGCTTCCTACCTACCTTCCGTGAAGAACCCTCTTTCTATCTCAACCAGCTGAAAATGGTTCTTGTTTCTATCTGAGACATTCTTTTCATGTTTTTCTCAAACTTCACACCATTGTGTGTGTTTTGTAGTCATTGAATATCTATATGTATGGTTTAATTACAATTCAACCTTGGGCCTATCTTTTTGGTTTTCTAGCTAATTCGAGAGTATTTGTCTCGGCATTATCCGATCTTTGATAGTGACATCTAAAAACTTTATAGCTATCTTTACTTTGGTGGTGCTATATTGTCACTTAACTTCAAGTTTTCTGGAAGATTTGATGACCCCAAAATTGTTTACCCAAAAATGTGGGGAACCCTTCTCTATCTTTGTCTTGCTTTTTAGCTAGCTCTTTTTAATTTAAACCTTGACATATATATATATAGTGCTTTAGCACCGGTAGGGCACACTTCGCTGCTGATCACACCCCTCTTCTAGCTAGATTCCTTCCACATTGAGAATGCATGGCAAGTCAGGACGTACGTGTCAATGCATCAACTGGGAATTAAAATACTCGTGTTTTATTTATGTGTAAACGTGATAGCTTTGTAATTAAACTCATGATGCTTGATGTATCTGAAACTACATTGTTTTGCTCAATTTTTAATGTGTTGTGTGTTAATGTCTGAAATTACGTTGTTTTGCTCAATTTTTAACTTTTAATGTATTGTTTTTGTGTCGGAAACTACGTTGTTTTGCTCAATGTATATCAACTTAACATATAAAAACTTGAGCAAAATGACCCTATTTCTGTTTTCAATTCTATTGTACAGCGTACAATATATATCTTTGGCTCCTACTTAATAGATGAAACTTTGTGTATGTTGTTATTTCATGACGTGCATGTTTGTGAATTAAGAGACTGTAAGGAGACGACACTATAGAGGAGTGAGACAAAGACCTTGGGGGAAGTGGGCAGCTGAAATACGTGACCCAAAGAAAGCAGCCAGAGTTTGGCTTGGGACTTTTGAGACAGCTGAAGACGCTGCCATTGCATACGATAACGCGGCTCTCAGGTTCAAAGGCACGAAAGCCAAGCTCAACTTTCCTGAACGAGTTCAAGGCAAGACTGACTTTGGCATGCTTATGGCTACTTCTGGTTCAACAAGAACAACAAGTAGTAGCAGTGCCTCTACTCAACAAAATCAAAATTTCACGGGGCCAGCCGGTAGCGGTGTTGTTGCTCATCCGCCAGCTGCTCCGTTCATGGCGCAGCAGCCGGAAACTTTCCCTGATTTGTATCAGTATGCACAGCTTCTCTCCGGGAATGATATTGATTTCTCGTACCACTCTTCCAATCTATTTAATCACCAAGATCCATTTGGTTCACAAATTTCATCACCAACAACGCATTTTTCATCCTCGAATGCATCGCAACCGCCGCAAAGACAACAACAAGATGATCAAGACGAAGATGGGAAGGACTGGAATTGGAATAATCCAAGCCAGTAGTAGCTGCATGCGTATTTAATTTGATGAGGTTCAATTCTATGTATTATATATTTATATATATTGAGAGGAAAGTTTACTATTTGAAATCATCAATTTTATGTTCAAGTTCTAGCTAGCTAGTTAGTTTGATCATTTAATTTCAAGTCTTTTTTTTTTCGTTCTTGCCTGAACTTCTACGCATTGTTGTAGTACCATGCATTGAAAAACGCCCGTCTAGTTATGAAGGAGAGAATCGTACGTATAGGCTATATATATTCAGGCATTACCACATGGTTTTCAGGCTTGAGACTTGAGTATGTCATCCATATATTTCAATTCTCGGTATAATCCTCTCTTAAGCATGCATTATAATTTACTGCCGAGACTTCAATCGCCTTTTTTTTTTGAAGTGATAAGAAATGCATGATGATTATTTTGGAGTTACGATAACAGTTGTCTATATCATTCCACACAAACAGCGAAGAAATTATTTGCAGTTCAAAATAGTCTCTTACATATCGCTATGTGTAAATATTATATCCCCGAAGTTCAAGATTTATGCGTCAATTTTGCAGCCCCAAAGTTTGGACTAAATAAACTTCAATCCACAATACAATTGACCGTAGAAATTAAGAGAGGAAATCCATTTCTTCGAAAAGAAAAAAGGAGAAGAAAATCTTTGAATTGAATCTCACATCAAAATATTGCTAGCGTAAGAAAAGTCACATCGGAATATTTGTCACTCATCTTAATGCCAAATTGGTAAAAATCTATGACACATGAAATGAAGTGCCGTCACTTCACGAATTAAAGGGAGAATATTATTGTTCCCGATCGATCCTCTGATGGGATTGCAAAGTCTCCAATCAAACAACAGATGTTATCGTCCTTGTTACTAAGAAGGAAATTAAAATGGTCACTTAAAACAGAAAAAATAAATAATTATAATAATATATTTTCAGTGCATGCTAACTTTTTTAAATACACGAACCTTGGCTTCCCATGATGAGCCATCATAAGTGGAGGTTGCAAATTGGGACACGTTACACTTTGCAAATCCTTAAAGTAGGAAATGGAACCGACCAACCATCGGGCTTCAAAAACCTTAAACATCTCCAACTCCGGGTGGCAAGCAATTTGAAACACCAAAAACAAAACACAAGCAAAAATAAATAAATAAATAAAATTGGACAAGGTAGAAACGTGCTGTTCTTTATTCTCCCACTTGGTTTTTGGGTTTGCGATGAAGTATAAAAATAATAATTGAACCCAAAGCTCTTTTCTTTTTTTTGTCGTAAGGATCAGTACAAATTGAAAGACAACGGCTAAAAACCATGCGCATGCTAAAGCTCCAGTGGGCCTTCAACCCACTTGTCCCTGAAAGGTTAGCTCTTGTGGGCCACCCACAAATCTTCCAAAGCCCAAAAAGGCTGATCTGCCTGCCTACATAATGAACTGCAAAACGACAAAAAGAAAAAGGGCAAACAAGGAGAAGCTTCCCTCTCGTCTTTCAATTTTTGTCTTCTTCAGTCACCTTATGTCGTGTGTATTTCATTCACACATTAGTTTTTGCATGCAAAATACTAAGGGCTCGTTGGATAACCATTTCAATTTTATTTTTTAGTTTTCATTTTTTATTTTTTGTGCTAGAGTATAGAGAAAAAAGAGAGAGAATAGAAGTGAGAATGAGAGTGAAGATGAGATTGAGAGGAAAGATGAGAGAAAATGACGAGAGGGAAAAGTAACAAAAGTGAAAGCAAAAAATAAAAATTGAAATCTTTTTGAAATTATTTTCACTTTTATTACTCATCTCCTCTTATCCTCTCTTTCAATCTCATCCTCACTTTTATTTTCTTTCATACTTTAATACAAAAAATTAAAATTAAAATTAAAATCGTTATCAAACAAATCCTAATATTTTGCTCATAATGATAATAAAGCGTTTATGTATGAGTGGAATACAAAAAGGGAAAGTAGCAAGCATTCTTTTTCTTTTTTCCTTAATCTTTACGCTTTTGATTGCGCATGATTAGAGTGACATGTGCTCACTTATCAAGGCAAGCATGGGATTTGGGCAAAATCAGGAAAATATGCTGATATTGTGGGGCTGGATCCCACCTTGATTTGGACAAGTGACATGAGGTTTATTTACTATGCTTTCGGCATCCCATGTCAATTTTTGCGGCTACACTCCCCCTTTCTCTTATTCTTATGCCGTCCTTTGCTTCCAAGCCGCAATGGTAAACAGCGGCACTCTCAACCGCATTCACATTTCATTTGGTTTTAGGTTATTTGGATAGAAAAATGATATAGAAAAAATACATCGTATAAACATACTGTTTTAGCCAATCAATATTAAGAAACTCGATTAATACACTTTAAATGTATACGTAAATACTTATATTAGCTCATTGGCACTCTACTCTAGTATTGTTTATGACCCGCACAAGGTTGTTGGGTATCATTCATATTTTACAAAGCTTGTTGTGATCAATGTTTTGAAAAATAAGGCGTAGAAGTGAGGCGTTTTTAGTTGAGCAAGATGAGGCATAAGGCTTGAAGCATTGAGGTGTAAGACTTTCGAACATTAATTTATTACAATAAAAAAAATTTATATAAATAATATAGTACAACTAAATTTTAGGGAGTTTCACTAAAACACCCAAAATGGGGGTTGAAATTATAAAAAAACCCAAGCACTATTTAAACATATAAACACACCCAAAACCCATCATTACACACACTCAAAACCCATTTATAAACACACCCAAAAAGTTGACTTTAGGGTTGATTTTGGGTGTGTTTCTATGTTTAAATAGTGCTTGGGTTTTTTTATAAATACATGTCTATGATTGGGTTTATTTATAAATTTGTATAAATTTTACTACTAATTTTTATTGAAGCAAAATAAAATGAAGATATATACATATACATGAATCTAGTAAAAAAAAGAGTTTTTTTTTTCTTTTTTATCGGAAGTTAAAAAAGAGTCAGACTAAGAACCAAAGCATGTATTAAATATTAGGGCTAAGTTAGGACAAGCTACATATAATAAGTTTAATTTATTTTTTATGGAGCAAATAAAAAGGTTTTGCTGCTTATTAAACGTAGTGTTTCTTTTTAAAAGAGGGACATGGGATGCGTAAAACCTAAAGCATAGATAATATCAAACGAAGCGTTAAAAAACAATTGGACTACATGAAACAACAATGTCGTAGACGCACCTCCTTCCTCGTGTTGTCTTCTTCTTCCCCGCGCAGATGCGCCTAGCAGAGCGGTAAAGCATCACTTCACATCGCCTCGCTGTCGATGCGAACACTAATCGTGCAAACAGCTAAATAGGGGAACGCCTGAGGCGATTTGCTCCCGCCTAGCTCCGATGCGGGCTTATGGGAGCAAAGAAATCCGACAACCAATCAGGAGGCGCCATATGGAAAAGGAGCAAACCCTAAGAATATATTATTCAAATCAATATTCGTATTTCATAATATATTCAATACGGGAGTTACCTATTTAAGTTGAGGGAATAAATTCCATAAATAACCTCAGTCTATTTATTTCCTTCCATTACTTCCCTCAACCTAATTAATCAAGAAATGAATAATTCTCCATTATTCCTTCCTTAATTGGAAAATGAATGTTACGAGAAAAGAAAACCTATTTAAGCTAAATGGAGGACACAAATAAGGTAACTCTTTCTCACTCGGAAAATTACTGAAAATTAGTCTCTCTAGCCGAAATCCTCCCTTGCTCTCATACTCTTGGTGGACCAGCTTAGGCTGTCACCACCTCTCTTACCTACTCAGCTCGCAAGCCACATATCTCTCATGTAGAGAAATATCTTCATTCTTTTAGTATTATCTGCATCTTCTGAGACCATATTACTAACTTAGGGATCGGAGGGCCCTTGGCCACCACCACATCGGTGGTTCTCCGTTGACCGCCATTTGTCTTGCAGGGAATCTAACAGATGAACAAACAAGAGAGAAGAATCATCCGTGAATATTCTCCCATGAGAAATTTGTCAAAATTTTTGGTGCTTTCATTGAGAGCCTCGAAATATACTCAAAGAGAAGCTCTCACAAGTTTCAATAAGGAAATTATTTTCCTTTCCATTTATCAAATCCATTCGAAGCATTCGAAACAATCATGGTGAAAAGTATCACCACAGGAGCAAGACGGTGGCCAAAAACTCCACCGCAACACCAAGTCCTCATGGTATCGCCGTCGAGACTAGCAATTCCCATGGGGTAGTCGCTGCCCAGGTTGGACCAATCTTGGAGCAGGTATTGCCACACCCACCTTTGCTACCACAACCCTTAAATGTTGCACCTATTCGCACTTCCAAAGAAGCCCTAGGTCGTCATTAACTTGGCTCCACACAATTCTCTCCTACCTGCCCAAACAGCCAAGTGTCTTAATCGCAATGTTGACGAGCTGACTAGGAGAGTTGAGGACCAAAGCAATTTGGTTGATCGGCTACTCAAGCAGATCAACTTGGTTCGAGACTATGGACCAAGGTCTGATGGTGAAGAACACAAGGATGGGTGAGCGCACCGGTAGACATCTAGAAATATCTCAAGGAGATCAAGCAAGGACCAGTAGGTAGGAAGGAAGACAAGAACGTGCTGACCAGCATGTTGGAATATCAAGAGCATTTGTGAGTTAAGACCAGAGTAGGATGAGAGCTCGTTCGAGACTAAGCCCACAGACTAATGTGCACTTGAGATTAGGGGCACAATCTGATGCCTACACCCTATTGGGCATGCACAAAAGCATCCGTTTGAGATTAAGCCCACAGGGAGACCAGTTGTGCAGCCCTCCACATAGGGAACATGAAGGAAGGCACTCACATGCTCGAACAAGAAGAGCATATTCCAGGCCACATGTTGTGGATAACCTTTCACAAGCCTAATCAACCAATATATTGCGTCGGTAGGCCAGCAGAAGGGAACAACCTCGTCAGCCGATGAGGAGGTTGACCAGCGATGCCGACATTATAGACGTTAGCAGCAAAAGCCACAAACATTGCGAGTAGAAGACATCGAGAAACTCGTGAATGATCAACTCCAATGCCTAAGGGTCAGAGGAGATTTAGAGGACACCCTACACAAGGAAGTAGACCAAGTGAACTCCTCACTATTCACTGACGAAATTGAGCAGGCAACCCTACCAAGGAGGTTTTCAACACCTACCTTCACACCATTTTAAGGGGATTTCGACCCCAAAACCCCCTCAAGCATTTTAGGAGTGTCATGATACTTTACAAAGGCAATGATGCGCTGATGTGCAAGGTGTTCGCCATGA